TACTTCTGCTCAATCTATAGATACCCTTTCTTTAAGTACAAAATTTAAAGAATGCATTTTTTCCAAAAAAATATATTTGAAACTATAAAGGCAGTCAAAATCAAAACGTATACTATTTAAGTAGTCAATGACAAAAAAGTAACTACTTTTTATAGTTCATACTTTTACTTAGCGGTCAGAAGAAAGCTCATTAAAAAGCCGGCATCCAGGTGCGACCAAAATGTATTGAAATTAGGCTAGAAGATCGTCATTTTTAAAAGCATACGTAATTAACATTTTTGAATCGAAAACGCATTTCAGAATTCCCGTGACCTTTCGCGAGATAGGAAATCTACTGTATTTACCATCTCTCATAACTCCATGGCCACCAAATGACAGCCTGGTCACTTCCGTACAGGGTGTGTCTGTGCATGACTAGTCTTCTTTGCACCGGCCAGGCCAAGCCACCTACTCGTATGAAACAGGATGCGTCAGTGTCCAGTCATTCCTTGGAATTACTGCGTTTGACTCTCGTTTGGCGCCAAGCTCGATCGTCTCCTGCGACTGTTGTTGTCTGTGTAAACAAATCACGACGCGGACATATAAATCCGCGACCGGCCCATGTTGTACAGCACACAACTGAGTCTGCGCTCTGATAACGATGCTTTCGACAAAATCACTCATCAGCCTGTTGTTCCTGGCGTCTGCCGTCCTCTTGTCCAGGGCCTATCCCAAGGCGCAGGAGGAGAACGAGGAGGAGCTCAAGGAAACAAAGAGGACGCTCGTAGAAGAAGAGGATGATGCTGATCTCCTGGAAAGTGTGCTGGCTGAGACGGGCCTATTAGAGGAGATGGAGACGCCTGCAGAAGTCAGTCAGGAGAACATAACGGTTCTGAGGCCTGCTACATCCAGGCGGTGGAAAAAATTCGTCAGGCGAGTTGAGCAGGGCTTCAGACGAGCTTTTGGACCTAAGAAAAAAAGAAGCAAAAAGAGTGATGCCCCAGCGCCCAATCCTGTCGCTGCTTCTCAAAGTCAGAATTCTGGCCTGAGAATCATAGACTATATCGTGCTCACTGGCATATGCATGTTTATTCGTTGACGTTTCGGACAGCTGGGCCGGCTGTCCCTTTTCGAAGCATGAACTAACTTTTATCGATCATTTTTTTGGCTGTACGTGTTGGCCTTTGTGCCCTTGGTTATGCACAGCTTGCTTGCTGTTGCTATTGCCTAAATGTTTGTTTTGGTAATTTGTGCGGGCCTATCAACTTTAGCTGCCGTTTTTTCTTCCCCATTCGCATTTAACTTTTCGTATATATACATACATATAGATTTTTTACGATGTCGACAAGTGCATTCTTTGGCAATTATGGATTGCCCATAATTTTCAGGTGTTGTGACGCTTGTGTACCTAATTTTATTCAATCTTACGGGAAAATAATTTTGCTGAAAATGTTCGAATTATATTTTCGAAATAAAGCCTGTCTCCTGTGTGTCTTATCTCCCAAAATCAACAAATTTTCATTGGTGCGAAGGGCGATGGTGTGTTAAATGCCTATTGTAAAGAAGCAGAAGACGCGATCTCTGAAACGGTAATTTTATTCGTCTGAGCTTTCGAAACCTCACGAGAATCCATCGTCAGAGAAAGAGAGAAATAGCAAGAGTTAGCTTCGCGTAAATGGGGGTGGGTGGGGGGTTCGCACTTGTGATTGGTCAATGCCCACGCCACGTCCATTCTCATGTCGCCTTATAGTGTGTCGTCTACGCGCGTCCCTGCAGTTGTGGCGTGTGACCT